TTTGAAGGCTAAATGTTCTTCTTTATACTTTCATCTTTCTTTTACTGTACTCTTTCTCCACAGGGAAGAGTTACTCTTGGTTGCTCATGAAATCTTTCTTCCTCATCAATCAACTGCACATTTATAGCACTTCCTGGGCTGTTGTCACAGTTTTGCAAGCCCAGCCACAGCTAAGCTGTCTGGTTGCTAATTATTGCTGGAGTAAATTACAAAATATGACAATATGGCACTAATAACAAGTTCACTTTCATGAGCTATAACATTAGCATACTTTTCTAACTGTGGGCTGCAAACATAACCAGGGCATGGCGGAGGGCACTTGAACCAGTCCCCTCAGGTATCTGTGGATATAGCGAGGAGGATCCCACTTTGAAGTGTGATGTTTTATCGTACTAGCCAGCTAAGAGAAACCACTGAGTAGTCAACTTTCCAAGGAGAGCATTAGTTAACAAAATTATTAGCTAAATACACATACACATCTATGTGTATATATATTCACAAGTTGTAGAAACATGTTTGATGCCCCAGGAAATTGATTATGATATGGTAAATAAATAAATAAATTATAAGACATATATATAAATGACTCTTACATTATGAAAAAATGTTCAATCCCACTCTTAATAAGAGACATGCAAAAATGAATTATAATGAGCCAAAATCTAAAAGCTTGATAATATACTCTGTTGGTGAGACTGTGGAGAAATAGGGACTCTCACACATTGCTGGTGGAAATGTGAATTAGTACAATCCCATATAGAGGGCAAATATTAAAGTTAAAATAGCATATATCTTCGACTCAGCAATTCCATTATTGGGGGTATTATGCTTCAGATAGCCTTGCATGACATATGTAAAGATTATTCATGGCAACACTGTGTAATAGCAAAAGGCTGGAGACAAACCAAAGTCCACCCAAAATGACTGGCTAAATAATATTGTACATTTATAAAGTGGAGCACTCTGTAGCTGAAGTAAAGACTAAAGAAACTCTTTATGAACTGATATGGAAAGATCTCTAAGATGTATTAAATTAAATAAAAAAAAAACAGGACCCAGAAAAATGTACATAATACGCTACCTTTTGTGTTATAAAGAGGGAAACAATCTATATTAGTATTGCTTTGTATGTATATAAAACATTTCAAAAGAAACTAAGAATAATATTTCCATGGAGATGGAATAAAATACTGGAAGGATATTCATCAAAATGTTAGAGCCTTGCCCTAACCGGTTTGGCTCAGTGGATAGAGCATCGGCCTGCAGACATGAAAGGTCCCAGGTTCGCTTTCGGTCAAGGGCATGTACCTTGGTTGCAGACACATCCCCAGTAGGGGGTGTGCAGGAGGCAGCTGATTGATGTTTCTCTCTCATTAATGTTTCAAACTCTTTATCCCTCTCCCTTCCTCTCTGTAAAAAATCAATAAAAGAAATTAAAAAAAAATGTTAGAGCCTTTCATAAATAATGGGAATATGGGTAATTAAAGAAATTATAGGAATTTTCACTGCACTCCATAATGCATAGCTTTAAGTATAATATAACGTTTTAAGTGATTTCTGCAAGAATACAATCCAAGTGTATCTGTAGCATTTTGTAGCCCAGAGGTGCATGCTTATGAATATAGAAGCAAGGGGTGAGGGCTGTGGAGACTGTCTGGGCCTTATTCTCTGGTTAACACTGGCCACATCTTCCCTGGGAAGAGCATTTGTCTGTACCCCCATAGGACAGTTGGGAAAATTCCCGGCGGGCTGGGGCATAGGAGTCAGCAAGGCAAAATGCAGAGGTCAAGTAAACATGAGAATGGCCGGGACCCGTCCACACTATCATATCAGAGGTAAGTACTTATGAATAATGTCATTCCAGGCAAAGCCCACAGAAGATAACTTCTTATGGAGAAACTGTTGGGGTTGTCCCAATGAAAGCAGCTTCCTGAGAGCTTGTAAAAGCAAAAGTCTTTAAATAGCATTTAACTGTAAGTGTAAAAATCATGAAACATACATTTCAGGAAAAAGGCATACATCAAATTACCTGGTATAATAAGTAGCCTTTAAGCAAATGCTCATGCTACTACCGCTGAGCTCCAGAAATATAATGCCATCCCTTCGGAAGAACTTCTCAGTGTCCCTTCTTGATCACACCCTATCCCTCCCCCAAGAGAAAAATCACTGCCCTCACTTTCATGGCGACGACTTCTTTGCTTCATTTATAGTTTTACAACCTACTTATTATGTACTCTTAAAGATACGCTTTCATTTTGCCTGTCTTAAAACGTTGTCTATAAGAGCCACCACGTTGCATGGAGTTATATTTTATTCATTCTATTAACTATATAGTTTTCCGTTACATGCTTGTGCCACAATTTTTTTAATCTACCCTACTGATGATGGATGTTTGGACTATTTCCAGGCTGGGGCATCAAGAACAATGCTGATAAAATGAACAATATACTCGGTGTATTTGGGTGCATACACCCTTGAGTTTTTCTAAGGTCATTATCCCTGAGTGAAATTGGAAGGTCCTAGGGTATAAATAGCTTCTTTTCCCCCGCTAGATACTACAAAACGTTTTCCAATGTGGTTTTATCAATATACATTCTTCTTAGCAGTCTACAAAGTTCTCGCTGTCCCTCATCGTCACCAAAAGTTCTAAATGCTTAGTTCAGTCCGGCTTTTTAACATTTGTTAGTCTAGTAGGTGTGCAGTAGATCTCATGCTTTTAATTTGCATTTCACCAGTGATGAATGAAGTTGTATGCCTCCCCATATGTTAATTGGTCATTTGGATATTTCCTTTTGTGAAGCAGATGTTCAAAACTTTTGCCTGTTCTTTTATTGGATTGCCTTCTTTTAATACTGCTTAATTTAATCCATGTATTAATAAAGAGTCTAAATGATGAATAATCAGGGTTGGAGGCTCACCATGCAGCCAGAGAGGCCAAATGCAGCAACTTACGATTTTTTAGAAAATACCTCTTTATATAATTAGCTGGCCCAAATTATTAATTGGATGATTTGGGCCTAAGCATCTGCCCACCACCCTGTCTGCTGCCAGTCATCTTCCCATGCACCCAGGTCAATGGATAATGCCAACAACAATAATTCACATTCACCAGACTCTTACCAGGTGAATGGTGCTGGGCAAAGCATGTATCTTATTTGCCTCTCTCTACCTCTGTTAGGCTTAGAGGCTTAAATAACCACTATGACTCAACTAGAGACTGAAATGGCTGAAAGTTGATCCCCCATCTAACTACTTATACTCGTTATTATCCTGCCTCAAAACAGTTTCCTTCTGGTTCCAAATTCAGGGTTGACCTGTACTGTGGGGACAGTAATCATTTCTAACAGAAGAGAATATAACCAAGTACTTAGTTTCAAGCTGGAAAAATTTAAATTCCTTATAATTATAGCATAATGATTATGAAGGGCACTGACATACAGAAAGTAGGTTTACCTGAAGCTTCTTATGTCCTTGATTTATGTTTGCATCACAACCCATATGTGAATGGCAAATACAGATTCTTTCAACGTACTGCTGCATTCATAAACATTTTATTCATCTCAAAAAGGTAAAATCACATGTCCTAATCCGGACTTACGTTTTAGGATAAAAATCATGAAATAAACAATGATAGCAAACCTTCCCACACATGCAGCAGCCGCAGCAGCGACCCTACACTCTCCGAGCAAGGAAAAGGACAGCCCAGCCCGCTGAGTTGGGTCTCAAGGGGGCTTTCTACTCATTAACAAGCATACCACAGCAAAATGTTCAAAGCAAAACACTGATTTCTTGGACAAGCCTCCCAGAGATCTGTGGGAAAGTAAACTTTTATTTCCAAGTTCAACTTTGAATTTGTTGGAAGCTTAAAGAACTGTGCGTATTTGAAACCAAACTTGTAGAAAGGTGATCCGACTTTGAAAAGATTGTGATGACTAAGAGCTGAGCTGTGACACAGAAGCATCAAACAGACTGTCGAACCTCAGAGGGAAGGCAGGGGAGGGAGGAGATTAACCAGAGAACTTGTATGCATATATGCATAAGCCATGGACACAGGTAATAGCACAGTGAAGGCCTGGGGTGGGGGTGGGGGGCGCGCTAGAAGGGGTCAATGGGGGATAAAGGGGAGCATATGTAACACTTATAACAATAAAGATTTTTTAAAAGACTGTATTCCAGGAAGTAGATGGCAGTTTTTGAAGCAGCTCATATAATAAACTTTAATTCAGAGGGTTTCCCCCCACGTTTGAGGGAACCTTCTGGATTGATCGTGCTCCTGGGTCCTGTACAGCTTGGAAAGCTATGTTCTTTCTCCCACCAAGACCCTGCTCAGGCTTGTAGTTTTGTTTGAAAGAATAATTTTCAATGTCCCTTCTGGGCTGAGCATTGATCCCCCCAGCCCCCCGGCTGCTGGGTCGATTAAATCCCACTGTTAGCCTCACATTGTGCAAGAGGGCAGATGGCATTCTGTGGCTTACAGTGGTCGGCAAACTCATTAGTCAACAGAGCCAAATATCAACAATACAACGATTGAAATTTCTTTTGAGAGCCAAATTTTTTAAACTTAAACTATATAGGTAGGTACATTGTTATTAACTTAATTAGGGTACTCCTAAGGCTTAGGAAGAGCCACACTCAAGGGGCCAAAGAGCCGCTTGTGGCTCGCGAGCCGCAGTTTGCCAACCACTTCTCAAAAGTTCCGAGGCAAAGAAATGCAGGCATTGCAGGGCAGAGTCACTGATAAAAGGCAGGAAGAATATGAAGGGCACCCAAAGGGTCTGCCAGAACAGTATTCAGGTCTTTTATTTTAATTTTCTTTCAAAGTCCAGAATAATATTTGGGACATAATAGTCCCCTGATACGGATGGACACATAGACCCACTATCAGAGTGGTATTGAAGAGTGCTTACGGATACACATTAAATCCTAACCGATAAAAGAATGTGGGAAGAAAGAAGGAACAAGAAAGGGTGGAGAGCCACCAGGGAGTCATCTCTACTCACACTTTCTCGTAAATCTTGTTGGCATATTCTGGCCACTGAATCATGCACACCACTCTGTTGGGCATGGTCATCGTGGTTGCGAAGTAACCCTGGGGGAAAGCCAGCAGGAGAGCCAGGACCCAGATGACAAAGATGACTACCTTGGTGGCTGTTCCCGTCAGCCGGGGCTTGAGGGGATGGATGATGGCCATGTACCTGGAACAGAGAAGAAAGGACTAAGTTCTGACTTAGTCACCAAAATACATTAGATTATGTATTGTTCCTCCCAAGGAAAACTTCCCGAAAACCCTTGACTCCTGGTGAGTTTTATAACTATTTTCTTTTAAACATTAGATGAAATATTTTTTTATCACCACTTATCTCCCCATCTCCTCTTCCACCTCCACCCCCAATCACCACAACTGTTACAACTATTTTCTTTCATAGTCTATCCATAAGCATTCTGATTCTTATAACATAAAATACTAAATCCATAAGAAAAATAAGGCAGATTTTCTATTTCAGATCCCACCAAGCAACATTCCAGGAGAGACCTTTTCATCATAGAAACGCTGAAGCTAGGGACACAATGTCTAAGTATAGGTCAGTGGCTTACAGCAAATCAGAAGAAACAACAACCAAGGTCATAAGTGTATTCAATATAAAGACTATCTTTTTCCTTTTTGGAGAAAGGAATAATGGTGATAGAAAAGGTAGTTTTTAAAGTTCTCGAGTGGCAATTTAAAAGGCTAGCAATCCTCCATCAGCCCATACAATCCTGGAGATATCCTCATCAATTCTTTGAACATCTAGATGACAGTGTGTGATAACAACCCTTTGCTTCATGAGAAGGAAGAAAGTCTCCACCTGCTGAGACGGACACACTAGAGCCTGTGAAAGGACAGGGTCCATGAAGCTCCTTGCAGGAAGAGGAAGGGGAAGCAAAGTGAATGACGCCTCAGGGCCTGGGGCCCTTCCTCCATCTCTCACACCTGGGACCTGGCACTCAATGTGTGCACGCATTTGCATTTGTGTGCAGCCTCTGAGGGACAGTGCACCTTTTAGGAATAAGAAACATTTTAATCAGCATTTCATATCACATCAATGATGCCTCCTCCATTTAAAAAAGGCATATCCTTTTGTGTATTTTTCTTGCAAAGTATATGGATCCATTCCTTAAAATATGCATGCATTTTGTTTAGAGTAGGAATGAGGTCTTATACTGCCTTTGGCGTTTAAATATTATCTGGTAAATCCTCAGAATGGTGCATTTGATTCTCAGACACGCAGGCGTTTCTGGCTTCCAGGGACAAGAATGGTCAATGGAGACTTAAAAAATGAGTAGACAGCAGCACAGGTGTCAGCTGCCTCCACATAATTCCACAGGATTCTTTCTCTACACTCTTGGGACTTCTAGGATCTTGAGGCCAGAACTGGGTTACAAGTAAAGCAATTTCAATCAGTATGCATGCCCCGCATTCACACTGGGCACCTGCGGCGTGCAGAGCACAGCGTTTCCTTCTGGGCTCTGAGCTTCTCATTTCTCCAGGGAGAAAAGGCACATAAATAATCAGCCGCAACGTGTCAGTAGGATGTTCAACCTCCAGCGGTAATGTGGTAAATACCTTGAACCTTAGGGAAGCTGCAGAGGTAATCAAGCCTTGGACTGGCAGGTGGACTATTGGAGGCGAGGACAGAGGCATGCGTAGCTGGATTTGGGGTGAGCCTGCCTGAGTATCTGGCTGGAGGGCAGGGAGCCTTCAGAGCCTCCCTCCCTTCTCTGTGTTGTGATTAGATCTCGCTTCCTGTCCAGGAAGCTTGATGGCTCAGTTTTTACAAAGGCAGTCCTGAGCTTCCTTTTAGCATCCTAAACTTTAGAATACCTTTCCCACATTTTCTTGCCAGGGACCTACACTTTCCTTCTCTGATCTCTATTAGTAAGAGCGATGCCACTGAAGGTTCAATGCATTAGGAGGCCTCAGGGCAGCTTTTACAGAGCTTTTCAGGAGTCTGATAACCTCCAGGAAGGGAACTCCAGAATCTTTTCCTTCCATCTCTTTTGGAAAGAGGGTAGATGATCTTGAAGTCAAGATAGAGTGAAATTAGATAGAGACTTGAAAAATATATTGTATTGGGGGTGAGGAGTAATTTGTAAATTTCTGGGCAAGTTTCCCTGGTTGAGTTGGTGGCTTTAGAGCCTGTGACCCAAGTGCCACCTACAGAACATCAAAAGGGCAAAAACAACCCTCAGGATGTTGTGCCTCAAGCATCGTCTGCCTTCTTAGGTTTCTCCAAGGGGACACAGCTACTCCCAAGGGAGGTCCTGTATATGGTAGGCTTACGGACCCCGCATTCCTGGAATAGTCTCCTGAAAAGAACCCCGAGAAGTCTTGATTTCCATCCTGGATCTGCCTCTTTCTTGCCATGTGACAGCAACAGAGCATTGATTAGCTCTCCAGTGTGGGGTTGTAGTGGATGGGGGAACCTCAAAGTCAGAGCCAACAAAGGTGGACCTGTGCAAACACTGTCCTGTCTTCTTTCCAATTCAGCGAAGAGCTGGACCTGGATGGTCATGGCCAGAACCTCTGAGTATCTGCATTAAACTTGTAGGCTTGCTTATTGGATCATTTTCCAGAGGCAAGATCTTTCTTCCTCTACGAAGCCAGACACATGCCCATGAAGATGCCTTCCCTTTTCAGCACCGCCCAGGCTCCTGCTCTCACTGCGGCTGTGCATTCTCAGGCTTCTCAGGGAATTAAAGAGGATGCCCAGGGGAGAACGTGCTAATTACATTGCCCCCTTTTAATATTATCGCAAATATTTTAATCTGCTTTTAACTCAGGATAAGTGCCTAGTCTTAAATAAGCAAGCCCTAACACCCCTCCCCTTGCCCAAGCTGGCAATACACCATTCAGAATCTAATGTGACTGGGGCTTAGGGAGGACTGCATCAGTATATTGGTACTGTAGCTCTGAATGGGTGGCAGAGAGCCATGTTTCATCTCTATTGCAAAAACGGCAATTTGAGAGCCCATTTCAGTTAACTCTCTGCCGGTACTTGAATGTAGGAGCCATTTCAGTGACACATGGAAGTATTACCCACATAAAGCCAGAGAGAATAAAAAAGATTGGCTTTTAAAAATGTATATATTTTTATTGTTCAGAAACACAGCCATTTATAAAGCTCCCTCCTTTCTTTATTTTTTTCCCCTTTCTTTTTTCTCTCTCTTGCAATCTTTACTTCTAGGGTTTGTGTGACGTGCTTCATTCTTATTTACCCCAAAGCTAGTACTGTTTGGCTCCTTTGTCCACAGATGGAAGCGTATCTTTTTTTCTTTCCCACTGCCCATTTCTAGCTTGGATCCCTTTACACATTCATGTACTTGTTTGTAACCACACCGAACCATTCTCGGGTATTAGATTATAAGTTATCACTGAGCCAGTGCTGTGAAGCTCTAGGAAAATGCATTCAATAAATATTTATCGACTGCATTGTGCTCATGGGACTGGAAGACAGTCAATGAAACGTCTTCCTAGTTTACACATTCATCATCAGGCTGCCAGGGGTCCGGAGGCTGTGTGGGACGTGGATTCTGTTCTCCACTTCAGCTCGTTCCAAGTCCCACGGAGGGCCATCGGCTCTGTTTTGAATTGTATCTGGTGTCCCAGCTGAAAAACTTGACGTGCTGTCTTCCTCTTACATGACTATACTTTATAAAAAGAACTCTCCATGTAGGCCCCTAAATTTGGCAAAATATAAGACTGCAGGGTTTTTTGTTTTTTGTTTTTTTTAAGGCAGAGTGAGACAACTTTATGGGGGAAAATAATCCAGTCTTCTGACAAGCACAATATTCTCACAGCTTCCTCCTATACTATTTCTACATCTTCTGGTGTTTCCTCTACCTGGAGATCTGTCCTACCATGCCCTTTTCCCACAGCTATTCCCCACCACGCCAGTCCCCACCCTCCTTTACCCCCACTCACTTCTTCCTGGGTTGGTACACGTTCCTTTTAAAGGACTGTATCTTCCTGGGTTTAAATGACCAGGAGTGGCGACAGCTGAGAGCCTGGCTGCTATAGTCTAGCTCAGCCGTGGGCAAACTACGGCCCATGGGCCGGATCTGGCCCGTTTGAAATGAATAAAACTAAAAAAAAAAAGACTGTACCCTTTTATGTAATGATGTTTACTTTGAATTTATATTAGTTCACACAAACACTCCATCCATGCTTTTGTTCCAGCCCTCCGGTCCAGTTTAAGAACCCATTGTGGCCCTCGAGTCAAAAAGTTTGCCCACCACTGGTCTAGCTTAAGGGTTGGCAATTTTTTTTTTGTAAAGAGCCAGATAGTGAATATTTTAAGCTGTGTGGCCCATACAGCTTCTGTCATAGCTACTCAACTCTGCCTTTGTTGTGCTAAAGCAGCTGTAGACAAGACAACTATTGGGGATGATTGTGTGCCAATAAAATTTTATTTTCAAAAACAGGTGGTGGGCTGGGACTTGGACCTCTGGGTCATAGTTTGCTGATCCATAGTCTAACACATGGAGGATTCAAACTGAAGCTCTCTGAGGGGGTGAATCTCACAGCCCAGAAGCAGTCAGTAAGGTGCTCAGCCACCAGTCATAACCCAGAATCTTGCCTCTTGTCTGAGTACCTGTACAGTGGTCTCTGAGCCCAGGATGCTTTTCCTCCCATCTCCTTCTGGCTGGCTCCTACTTATTGTCTTGGCTTGGCCCAGTCATCAAGTCCTTGTGGCTGGGTTAGGTGCCCTGCCTTTCCTGCTGTGAAGGTCTCTAACCTTGTGCCAACCACACTTCACTTTATTTACATATCATATCTGCCTCTTCTTTCTTCATCCTCCACAGATACCTTGAGGTTTGCAGTTGCTGTGACTTATTCCTGTCAGTATCCTTGGCCTCCCTGAGCCTAGTACATGTAGTAAATACACAATAAAAGCTTAATTGAATAAATAAATATACAAATTTCTTGGCACATAGCAGGGGTTCTCTAAATGGCTTTGGAATAAAAATAAATGCAGCAGGAGAAACACACACACACACACACTATAATTTTATTCCTTCCAGTCTGAATGTGTGTGAGAATAATTACTGCTCTGTGTTTTCTGTTATACAGATATCCAGGATCATCCTTCGGGAGTGACCTTACTGGACCTGAGTTGTCAGAATTTCCCATGTCTTGACATTAAATCCTTGCATC